AATAAAGGCGAATCTAGGATTTAAAACTTACAGGTTCGTTCTAGCCTAGTGTTCCAGAGCTAAAGTTTCCAGTTACAACACAAAAACTTCAGCTCTAGAGCTGAACTTCAGGCCCGGCTACTAGAATGCTGAAGTTTTGCGCGATTGCCTTTGCTACTTCAGCCCCGTATGCTGAAGTTATGCGAAAAAGCGGGTACGCTTGCAATTTTTTTTGCAAAGCGGGCACAAGTTAAAATGTGACACAAAAAGCGGGTATTGATGCAAATGCCCCCATTAGAAATATACTTTATCTCGTGTTAAATATTTGTCATTTTTTCGAAGAGCAATTCTTCAAGGTGAAATATATCTCGACTAAAACTTTTCCTTTTATTTCTTCTGAATGTACTCTGCAACGAGTACCATATATTAAGATGCATATACTTTTTCTTAAACGGTTCCAAAAGATTCATTACCTTAAAAGAAAGACGAATCTAAGCTTATAATAATTAAGACAACAATTGCAAATTAAACAGTGGGTGCAAATTCAACGCAAAGATATAGTTTTAAACAATTTCAATTACATAGTATATGCAAATCAAGTCCAATTCATTGGGTGCAGTCTCAAATTTAGAGCAGGTTCAACTAAACCTGTTGCTTTTACTCCGAACATGGAAACTAAAAAAGTCTACATATATACAACAAAGGCGAATCTAAGATTTGAAACTTACAGGTTTGTTCTAGCCCTAGTGTTCCTATATTTTATATATATGTTGAATTCAGCCGAACTGTATCCTTAACTCTGGCTCTGCTCTTTTACATAAGACCATCACACATAGTTAAACCTACTAACTCTAATTTCTAAATCCGCCTGTGTAAGCATGGACAAATTGTTGTCAAAGCTCTAAAACGACAATGATAACTCATGCACCCTCTTGAAGTATCATTTGAATGAAGTTTGGGAGGGGAGAGGGAATTGTATGATTGGTCACTGTTGATCTTATTCTAGGTTCCAGTTTTGACACCATACTTTGAATGCAAAACAAGAAGAATTGTCGGGCATAACTTGTACATATAAAATGACAAACCCATAACGTTATTTCAAAGCACTGCTCTTGCAGAATTCCTTCTATATTGTGTCTCTTGTTTAGTATTTTGTCTCAAGTATTGGCAACGTCAATAGCTGATAACATGTTTTTTTAAGATCCAAACAAAAAAAAATCTGAAGAAAGCTGTGTGGAGTTAGTACCCAGTACTAGTAGTAATTTAGGCGTGCTATAAGAGACGTCATCATCTTTCTTCTTTTCAGTCTTCTTTCATTTCTTTTCTTTTCAATTCTTTTGCTTTTATCACACCTTCAAATATCTCAAGAACTGAAAACTATTATAGCAAACTCAGAAATGCAGTAAAAAATATTCAGCTTTTGTAATTTAAAAAGAGTTCTGTGGATATATGTCTTTATTCCGGGGAGTTGGGGACCATTACTACTTCTGAGCCTTCTATCTGTGGATTAAAGAAGACCCCTTTATTCCCTTTGTCTGAAAATCCCAATGATCAACCCCTGTCCTTTCTCTTTCATTTAATTTGCTCTTCGGGATTGTTTACATTTTGCTGTTGTTTTTGTAACTCTAAAAGGGTGCGTGTTTGAATTTGATATATTGGCAAAAGCACAAACTGTGTGGCTGTATGAGGCGTAACTTGTTTATATAGACATAATAAAGTGCTCCCTCCGGTTCAAAATAAGTGATTTTTTGATTGTTTTCACAATATTAACATTTACTATCTCTTCACATAAACACTCCTAACACATACTCTAACATTATTTACTCCAAGGCCAATGTAGGAAAAAAAAATAATTAATTCATTCTTGAAATCTGAAAAAATCACTTATTTTGTACCACAAAAAATCTCTTATTATGGACCGGAGGGAGTAATTAAGTTACATGTATAAATTATTACGTACTAATTACGAGTACAATATAAGCTAACATCCCCATTTGAATGTTTCCTCGAACAAGAAGAAGAGTATCCATTTTTGTGGTCATATGTGGAAAAATAGGTAGAACTCTCTCTTTTATCAACTCTCTGGTCTGTGTCAACTGATTGTGCTCTTTTTCTTCCTAAATATTTTATACCGATATATCGTATACTCTGTATTATGTCATCATAACAAAATACTGAAGAATCTTTCTGAAGTGAGAAGAGCGAAAGCATGCTACAATTAACTTAACGATCAGCTGAAAAAAACGTTAACTAGCGCACAATGACTTTCTGGGTATTTTCTTTCTGGAACAGCCTTTGGAAGGTCGCTGGTCGAATGAAGATAAATAATTGTAATACAATCAGTTAGTTATTTTTCTCCTTTGCATATATACCAAACCAAAATTGTCACCTCAAATGTCATCATTCTCCTACAGAAGTCTTCAGTTTTACTATTACTAGTCAACTACTCCCTCCGTCCCAATTTATGTGGTGGTGTTTGACTCGACATAGAGTATAAAGAAAATTAACTTTGAAAACTTGTGATCTAAAACACGTCGTAGAAATTTGTATGGTTATAAGTCATCTCATTAAAGGTAAAGTATGAGGTTTAAAGTTAAATTGTTTATAAATAAGGAAGCCTGACATTCTTTTTTTGGTACAGACTAAAAAGCAAAGTATGATACGTAAATTGGACAAGGCGAATAAGTGTTTTCAGTAACATTCACTTTTTGACTTTAAACTTGAGGCAAGGAGACACTCTTTATACATTCTTCTAATTGCTTCAAGTATTTCGTAAAACATTAAATTTTCTTCGTCGTGATTCTGAACGCATCTACTGTAGGTTAGACTCGATCAACAAGAATTTGAAACAAATTAAGTCAAGTACCGAACGTGTTGGATTATAACTAATTAAGTCCATCTCACTAGATCATTTCAGCAAAATTTAATACAACTCATTCATTAACAAAACTATTCATAGTTCACTTCTTTTTTTAAAAAAGTTAAAGGTTACGGTGCGATAGTCATGATTTCTATCGGATAATGAAACTTTCCAGTAATTATCTGAACAATAAATCAGGTGGAGTAATTCAAAAAAAGAGAATAAAACATGTACCTTCAACCAACTTCAAGTTCCTACGTCGTCTACTGAAAACCCATAAATGTTCCTAATATGTGACTCAATTATGAGAGAGACAAAGCCGCTCCAATCTGAATTCAAAGAACATCTAGAAGTCAAAAAGACCAGCCTATAGATTAGGACGTTAGAAATAGTAGTAATATGCTCTCCAATAGGTACAAACTACAAGGAAAATCCATCAATCAACTAGTGGAATCATTAGCTCATCTTAGTCCTTATGTTATAGAAATGGGCAGCATGTGCCTATTGTGCCCACAAAAGCAGTCAATAGGCAATGATTGTAAACTATCTTTTTCCCAGAAACATAAAAAAGATTGCTATTCCATTTAGTGGATTGATTGACAGCACTCCTGGATAGAAATTCTCTGCTAATCTAGACACAACCCCAGGGCAAATTAAAACATGTGTAAAACTCATACATAAAATATGTGTAAAGCTGTATGCATGTAATCTAAATAAAAAAAATACACGAAACATGCAAATAATTAGACTGCTCCGACTGGACTGTAACAGAAACCTCAATTTGGGTCATTCTAATAAGTTGCTTTACACATAAAATATGTGTAAAGCTGTATGCATGTAATGTAAATAACTACAGGTACTGTAACAGAATGATTCTATGTTGCTTAACTCCTCTCATCAACTGAATATCTGCACCTAATGCAAAACAAGGTGCAGTAGGCTTCCATGTTAGCGCACTTTTAAGAATTTTACTCATTGGACTTCTGAATATTCCAATACTACTTTTGTATATGGTATAGATGAAATGTTTTTGCTTATTTGACCTTTTTCTAATCGAACATGTCATTATTTAGACATGATGAAGAGAACAGGCCAATGAGCCAGTCCTGGTGCAAGTCCAAAGTCATGAGAGACAAAGCTACTTTTATCTTTGGGCTAATCACATGTACCTGTAGCTAGGGGTGTACAAAGAAAATCGATAAACCACACCAAACAAATAATCCGAGTCAAACCGGAAAAAGAAAACTAATGTGATACTTGGTTTGGTATTGGAAAAAAAAAAATCCGACCATAATTGATTTTAACTAAAGCAAAGTTAAACTGAAACCAAACCAACCCGACATTACATTTGTACAAATTTTAAAATATTTTATACATATAAATATTTAATGTAATTCATTTATAAATGTTTCTTAAACTTTTTCATAGTTTTATCTTTTAATGTATTATTTCAAGGTTGGACTTAACATTCTCGATTGGTCCAATAAGTTTTTTAGCTCATAAATGTAGCAACTCAAATAAGTTCAAATCAATACTAATGCCAACAAATTAAATTTAATACAACACTAAAAATGACAATAGTGTTGGATATCTATTTTTAGTTTTGCATTGGTTTATAATGAATTGAAAATGCATAACTTAGTTTATCTTTTGCTTTAGTGCTTAGTTATGTAATTAATAGTACTTATTAGATGTACTTATTTTAGCATGACTTATATAGTACTTTTAGATTGTGTTCATTTTTATTGTGGCTTATTAATTAGAAATATTTGTTATATGCGATTTTATTATCGTTATTATCTATGACTCATCTCATATTATTCTATTATTTTTTTGAAAAATACATTATATAGTTGTATCCTACTAGGACTAAGGAAATATTTGGAGCACAAGTTACATATTTTGTGCTATGAAGACTTTACTGGAAAAAAATCCGAAAACCCGAAAAAACCCGAGAAAAATCGAGATTGGAAAATCCAACTTTATTGCTTTGATTTGGTTTACAGATTTAAAAATCCGACACCATTGGTTTGGTTTGGTAATTAAAAAATCCAAACCAACCGGACCTATATACACCCCTACCTGTAGTGTATCCGGATGAAGCCCAGCTCGTAAATCCCATTCATTTTACCTTCTGGCCATCTGCAAGTAACAGCAAAAGTAAATCTATGACTAGGGCATATGATTAAGGTAGTTCTCAGGAATCAAAAGTTTAGCGCTAAGGACAGCAAAGGTAATCCAAAGTCCAGGTCTTAGGAAGATGGAAAGAAATCACCTAGACTTTTCTCTCTCCGCTGGGATTTGAGTTAGACACCTCATGGCTCTCCTCCCACTTCATTGACTTATAGGCACACCCTTTGTTGCTTTGCAAGATTATGTTCTTTCAGCAGTCATTCTTAAGCAAGGTGCACAGTTGCAGCGATTAGTTCTTTCTGCCTGGGGCACATTGAGGAGGAGTGGATCTAGCTTAGAGGGTATAGGTTCACTGAACGCAGTAGCTTTTGCCTAAATTCTGTATATTCATTAAAATATCCGATAAATACCTATAATATTTGACCGGCGGGAACTCAGTTAATTAACTATAGATAACTGTAGGAAACCAAAAACTTCAAATGCATTGAGCCATTGCCCCTTGACACACAACTGGGTTGCTGCAAAAGTTCCAAAGACAGTTATTTGTTTCCATAGAAAGTGAGTCATTACAACCATTTCAAATACCTAGTAAATTCATACTCTAAGAAAATGTTTAATTTAACTTTACCCAAAATCACATTTAACAGGATATGCCTCATTTTAGTTCCTCTGATGTACCTCAATGGAAAATGAATTCCTAACAGCAAAAGTGCACGTCACTTCTATACCTAGCGTTGTCTCTGAGACAGGGACTTGAAATTATGGATTTTCACCTCATATACGGTTAGACCACAAGAGTAAGCATGATTCCAAGACATTTTTATGTCTCAGATCATAAAACTTTCCTACTTTGTGAACACATCATTAAACTGCCCTACGGTGTAAATGTCAGTTTAACATTGTCCAGCCAGATGGCACCTCTGGGCATATAAAGATACCCACAGAAAGCCTGAATCCAAGATAAAAATTAGAAACACGCTATTAAATACTGAAATTATTTGTCTGTATGCAAGAATTTAGATAGAAAAAGAGTCAGCAAAAGAAGTATTACAGTACCTATCTGTTGGGCTGTAAACCTTTACCACCATAGTATTGTTTCGTTGTTTCACGGGAAAAATCTGCAAATGTCATCCCATCTTTCAGCCTCGACAAAAGTGGCGGAACAATCTTTTGAATTTCGTGACTTCTTTCCTCTGGTGCCTGCCTAGGCTGTTCAATTCCCTCAATACGTATTCCCCACTGCTGACCATTAAAATTTAAATTCTCAAGAGGGTAATCCAAAAGAGAGAATTGTTTGCTCCATGCTGGCTGCAAGAAGACAACAAATGTTTCCCTGCTCAAGTTTTCAATCTTTGGTGGTCTACAAACACAATGAAGTGTTGCTCGTAGCTTCCCCTTAGATAATATATCAGCTGCTTCTCCAACCTGCAGAATGAGACTCTCCAAAGGTGCCTTTACCATGAAGACCTGATTCTTTTTGGGATCAAATATTTGAAGATATGTGTGACCACAGGGCGAAGGGAACTCATGCTCAGAAGAAACAGGTGAACCAGTATTTACAGCAGCTGGCGTTTCTTGGTGAGAGGACAACAGAAACATGGGAACTGTTAAGAGAGTGAAAATACCATAATCATAATGCCACTGCTGCCATAGACCATAGTCATTTGACTGGTCTTTCGATAAGTCAGTCCCTTGTTGTTTCGTACTTGCTTGCTCATTCTTATTGACTTTTCCATTTCTTGATTTAACATATCCGTTTCTTTTTGCAGCTTCTCTAATAATATCATTGTCAACAGCGGAATGGTAATGGATTAGACGCCCTTTAGCTGTGCCGGACTCTAGTAAGCTCTGTTGTAGCTCTTGGCCCCCAATGTCCTTATCACATATTTGTGCAAGACGAAGCCCTAGGTCCATCATGCAGTATCCTAGCTCCTTAAAGGTGCATCCTAGTTTCTTAAACTCATAATGATTAACAACTTCATCATCCCGATTTTCAACATCTAGATCATCAACCCGACCATCACTTCTTTCAAAGCATTGCTCATATTTCAATTGCATGGAAAAAGACGAGACATTTCTATTCGGGTTCTTCAATGAAACATCACTTCCCAGACTGTGTTCCTGTTGCTCAATAATAACAATAAGAGTATAAGTAATAGAGCAATCTTCTTTTGATAAGCAACAGGGCAAATTATGCAACCAGGCTCAACCATCCTAAGTTGCACGGACTCTTCGATTTTGGTGCCGTCCCCGTCCCGGTACGAGACGGGGACGGGAGCGGGATACGTCCCGGATTCGGTCAACTAACTTCGGACACTTTCACCGGAGTCCATCGACAAATTTGGGAGAAAAATTGAGACTTTAATTTCTCAAAATAAAAAATAAAATAGATTTAGGAGAATGAAAGAATAATGTCGATCTTGGAGAATGAAAGATTGAATTCCACAATATTCATGTAAGTTTTTCACAGAATATCTCTCAAAATTTACAATATTTTATAGCTCTATTTTTTACTAGCCGAATCCCCGCACCCGCACCCATATCCATATCCGTATCCGCACCCCCGAATCTTAAAATTTAGATTTTGCTAAATCCGATACGCGGATCCATCCCCGTATAGGATACTCGCACCCGAGTCCGAGCAACTTAGCTACCATCCATGTTCTTTTCAAGAGAAAATCTTAGAGCTTTGCAAGTTGCATAAACTTTACAATGCACAGTCAGATTTCAAAAAATAATAATATTTTAAACTATTATGATTTCCTCACTCAATCAGTAAAACTAGCAAAACTATTCAGGATACATTGATGAATACGCCCAGATTAAAGTGGGCTAAAGCATTGAACACCAGATACTGATGCCTCGATCTCAAACTAGTTATCAATAAATATACATAACCACCCCAGGTAGTTCAAGCATAGTTAAAAAGTCCTTCTTTAAAGCAAACTCAGGATTCTCTTTATAGAACTTCTCTAAATCTTACAACCAACTCGTTTTATTTGGGCACATTTCATTTACATAAATAATTTGTCATCTACCATGAATTAAGGGTTCACTAATTAGACTTTTTTAATCAAACCAAAAGACTCATCGCAAACACCTAAAACTAGCAGAAGTGTAATAACTAAACTTTTAATCTCAATTAGTTACTATATTTTCTTTTAATTTTCATTGCATTATGTTATTAGCTAATAAGCATGTTGAATATTAGACATGAAGAAGGAAGTTAAAGAGAAAAAGAAAATAAAAGCTGGGAGAGAGGTGGACCTTAAGAAGGCGTTTGCGATCTTCGTTATTGAGAAGAGAGAGTTTTCGAGCCAAAGGAAGAAGAGTTCGACGAAGATTGGAAGCTTCTGGAACGCCGGTGATGGCCAGAAGTCCAGGTCCCTCTGGTCCTAGGTTTTCCATAACACTTGTGGTGATTGATTCAAGCCGCTGAATTTCTTCACAAGATTCTGCTGCTGATAAAGCTCTCTCTGATGACAGTTTCTTCAAATCAGAGTAGTGAAGCTCGTACAGTTCCACTACCTCTCCCTCCATCTCTTTTATTGTGGGTTTGCTATCGCGGTCTTGCAATTTCGAAGTCTTAACATATATATAGTCGACCTAGAGTGATGACCGTTTGGTACAAACTTACAATAGCGGACGGACTTTTGCCAAAGGTTAAATATTTTTATTAAGTTAAATACTCCACTAACTGACCAAAAGAGTAGTAGTAGTAGTAGTTGTTTCGAGCAACAAGTTGTATATGAAGAAGATAAGCAGTAAGCTAAATTCATTAATTAAAGGTTATTAAAATCGACTTTTACTAATAAGCTAAAAGAAATAACAAAAATTATGACTTGAATTTTTTGTGACATCATACTTGTGATGGTCCACTATTTCCTAAAAGTTTTCAAACTTAGATCAGATATCCATTAAAAATTAACGTTTGTAAGGGTTATGGGTAAGAAACGAAGTACGTTAAAAAACTCGTTAAATCAAACTTTTATCTCCTGACTGATATGTAGCCTCGACTGTAGTTCATTATTACTCATCCCCGATTCTAATGGTCTTATTCATTTAGCATCGCATTACAACGAAGACCCAGACAACCAATTGAAAAGTAATTTTCCTTTATGCTTCTCATGAACAGGTTATTCATGTTGTACAGTTTCCCCGTGTGCATTCTGATTTTTTTTTTTTCTCTTTTGAAAATCCATGCATCATTAGTTCAGTTAAGCAGGAAAATGTAGAAGGTTACAATTACACTCCCTTCTCCTTGAAACTCTTAGTCAGCCAGATAGCAGTTTCCCTTGGAGAAACCTTTTCTGGCCCAAATGGCTTCAGTAACACAGTAAGCTCTTCTAAACGCTCTTGCTGCAATAGTTGAGCACTGAACTCAAGTAATCCTTCTAAGGCTTCAGAACGTTGCTGGTAAGAAGAGGTGTCAAACCTCCGGGGACGAGATTCTGAAGATGACCGGCTTGAAGCACCAGTTGTTGCATTATGTTCTGAACATTCACTTCCAATCTGCGCAATTCCATGAATAGGGTCAATTAAAGGTGGCTTGGGAAAGCTTCTGTCAACAACCTTTACTGTACATTTGTCTTTTGTGAACGACCAGTCACTATAGCATGGTGAAGGGGAAGATAACTGAACAGATCTCGGTGAAGCTCTCTGGATGGGCAAAAGAGGGTCTTCTGAAGAAGCCAAGGGATCAACCATCTTGTCAATTCTTGGAGCATTCACAGAGACATCCGGAGACTTCACTTGGTGAAGAAGACCAACATTATGTTTGTAAGGTGACTCCAACTTCCCAGCTTTTGTTGATAAAGGAAGAGAAGTTCTACGCATTGACTTGGACGGTCGGCTAACTGGTGTATGTGTCACTGGAAGCTGCATTTGTATGTAAGTATATAAGTGTAAATGAAAACTCAAGCCTTGAAGAACTACAAGTATAAGCTCAACAATATAGCACCAAGAAAAGAATCTACAATTCCTGTCTGGACTTCTCTTCATTTGTTTTGACTTTTACACTGAAAATCTTCTCGATACTATTCAATCAGACACGTACCAGTTCACGGGTAGAACCAGCATTGGACATCTTTAATGGAGTGCTCTGTCTCCTCTGAGGTGTGGAATTTCTATTTGAATTAAATCGCACAGTTTTGACAGCAGCTGACAACTTTGAGATAGCAGAACTTTTTACGTCATAAGGAGTACTTTCAACAGACGGCTCTGAATAGTTCTTCTTCAAAGAACTCATTAGATCTTTTGCTCTCCGGGATAAACATGGAGAACCCGTTCCAGAAATACTAGGGTTCAAAGCCCTATCACTGGACAATCGCCTCTGCTCTCTTTCATTGAAGACTGGAGCAATTCTAGGCTCAGAATATCTTTTTTTCTTTACATAGTTTGAATTAGAGGGCTGGGCGTGGAACTTGTGCTGTCTAGGGCTGTCAGAATTCAGAAAGATTTTTAACACATAGGGTTGAAGATGGGGATGTCGGAGTAAATCTGCAGCCTGGAACAACAGTTGGGAGAGAATTAAAGTGAAAAGGAGTTGATGTTTCAAACAGTTAACATCTTTGGTGCCACATGAAGCAAAAATTTGCACGTAGAAAGTTAATAGTGAACTTTGAGGAAGTGAGGGATACTTACACTTGGCCTGAGTTCTGGGTTTTTCCTTAGCATACTCTTAATAAGGCCACGGCTGCAACAAAAATAAATTTATCCAATCGTAGCACAAAAGACTAGCAATTTGACAAATAACTAAAATCGGTAGCCTCAAATGTGCAAAAGGAAATTTACTCACAATGCACCAGAATACGTGGTGGGAAGTGGAGCAACTATACATTTGTTAATTTTGTTAATTAGACCTTGCATATCCTGCATTCAAAACAGTGGAGGTCATTTGAAGTCTATTACAACTGAAAATAAACATATCGAAGGTAAACATCAATTAATTACATGATGAGAAGCCGAAAAATCTCATAAAAATAAAAAGATAGGGAAAACAGTAGCTAATGAATGTCACAATCATAAGAAAGAACTCCTCCACTGGTTAAAGGTAGAACAAAGTTATACATCATAAGTGTAAGTACAGTTGGTCTCACTATAGATCGAGTACTGAAGGGCTACACTGCCCATCAGCCGATGGAAACAGTTTTAGGAAGATACCTCAAGAAATGGTCTTAGACATGCCCAAATCAACAGAATTATTTTGGAATTATATTAGCACTACCAAGATTGTAAGCACAAAGAGTTCCTTGACGAACGATGATCTAAAGACAGCTATTATCAAGGCTACAAGCTCTTCCAAGTCCAAAGCTTGGCAACATATCTTTGTTATTTTCCAACACCAAGGCTGCACACCGTTAAGGAGAACTCAGCAATACCAAACATGTGTGTGGTCCATTCCTCTCAGAGACTAACATCAAACAAATAGCCTCGTCAAAAAATCAGCAGGAGGCAAAAGTTACCTCTAACATTAGCACCACCTTTAATTGGAAGGGCGATGTTAACTTATGCAACTCTAGCCCAACCCAGAGTGCTTTCCTCCATTATTTCACTACTTGCACTCATGAGGTACTCCCATTTTCAACCAATCTACAATTTCTCTAACTGCATCCTTTAATTGACACTCCAGCGCTCACTTCTTGCACGGAAGTGTATACATACACAAACAGCCCATGGACTAAATTAACATCGATACTAGATTATTTTAAAAGACAAATAGACCATCTGAGTTTCCAATACTTTCCCTAAAACTGCCAGTTGTACCCAGAATTTGGTAATTGATTATACAGCTCGTGATACAATTAAAGTTCATAGTCTGGAAAGTAGCATTTCATAACTTACAAATGCTTTGAATGCCGGCTTGTAAGCAGTCATTTCATACATGCAGCAACCTGGATATGCAAACAGTCAGCAAAATATTGTGCATCATGTTAAGCAAGGAGAGGTAAAGACTTACCCAAAGACCAGATGTCTGATTTACAACCATAGGGTATATCAGCAAGAAGCTCGGGACACATATAACTTGGGGTACCCACCACCTGAAAGCCAATATGACTCATCGCTAGACTAAGCAATACAACAAACACAAATACAGAATATTCACAGACAAGTTACTTACAGAGGAAGCAAGATCATCCGAAGACAGTATTTTAGCAAGACCAAAATCACCTGAAAACAACTCTTGAAATAAATACTCAAGTCAATCATACCCAACTTCAAGTTATGAGGTACAGGGATTACCTAGACGTATATCGTGCTCTTTAGTCAGAAAAATATTTGAGCACTGAAGCAAAAATGTTAAATCAGCAAACAAATCTATAAAGTTGAGAAAGAATAACTTTATGGAATAAAGAGATATGCTACTCACCTTGACATCACGGTGAATTATATGGTTCGTATGCAAGTGATCAAGTGCCATCAGAAGTTGAACTAGCCACTTACAAAGCTTCTGTTTATCAGTCAACATTAAGATTTCAGGAAATGAAATGGCCGCAACATTAGGAAGTAAATTTATTTGGTGGAGGCGGGAGGGTATGAGTCAGAAGGAAATTCTAAATTTAATAACAACCTCCTCAGGGAAAAGAACACCATTAGCTCTCTTAATAGCATCTGCCCTGCATAAGGATTGAAGAAGTGATTAGACAATATGTCGGGTAGACAAATATAAGCAACTAGATTCAGGACCTCAGGCCTAAGCTCCTAATTCTGAAAACAGTTCATGGGAAAAGGAAAGATGACTTACATATCACCTCCTTCACAATACCCAATAATAATGCACACGTAGCATCCCTGAAAATTGGGTATTTTCACATAGTCAATGGCATGGCTGAACAAATAATTCTTTCACAGCTATACAACATTATGACCACACCAGAACTCAAAGGTTTAGATGTATCTTAGACAGTTTTTGTAACCACAGTCCTTATATTGGTCTATTAGAACTTACCAATACTTGCTAAAATTAGAGTTATAGCACTACCTACCTTCTTTCCAGTAAAATCCAGATTAACCATCGAGATGAGTAGTTAAATAACTAAACATCTATCACATTCAGATATGCAGTTGCATGTTCAACCACTGCAACAACGCATGAGGGCTGAGTATTCACTTGAACAGTAGTTTTAGTTCTTACGTAGTTCAACGTCTAACCTAGATAGGCACCCTTTTACATTTTATTTTTTTTACTATTTGTAGACTTCCACTTAAAAATCTTTCATGTTGTTCACAATGCGTGTCGTCCGGAAGTGAATGGCATGAGCAGACAAGTTATCACATGTACGTTGATAAGTGTTTGAAGTGAAATGATGAAAGGAAAAACTATGAACAGACCTTTTCCACCCAGGAATCTTTGTATTCCACCACAAATGGACTTTGTATTCTTGAGATCAGTTCCATCTGAAAAATAAACCCAGATCAGAAATTGCAAACACAAACCTGCACCTCCATATTCCCCAGTCTTTCCCAACAAAAAAGAAGGAAGAAAGAAATAGATTAGGCAGAAAGGAACCACTCGAGTTGAAGGTGCATTTAAGATAAGCAAGTATCACTGTCTTCAACAGAAATGAGGCTTACTTCACTTTATTAGCAAAAGCCTTTTCATTGCTTCATGACTGTTACCAAATCAAAGAGTTCAGTAAATGTTTAACCCCTAACGCATACATAACTTTCATCCTGTCAGGTAACACTGTGCAGTTCATGGCATAACTTCTTAACCATTTAAGACAATTATGGTGAATTCTATAGTGCACCAGAAATTTCCTATCTAGATACCAAGATATGCAGATGTCTTTACACTCTTAACCACCCTGTTCGTCCTCTCATATCACAAGAAAGCTGGTAAAAAAGGCTGACCTCCTGGTGGGCAGATCTGCGTGTTCTCTCTGTCTGGCGAGCTAAGCGAATTTTTTTCATAACATATCTTTGAGGAACAGAAAAAAAGAAAGATACAATCAGATATCCAAATAAACTGAATAATGCAATAATGAAATGACTATGAACATAAACAGAATACTGTAACAAATATCAAATTGTAACAGGTGGAGTGAGAAAAGGTTGCACGTGTCCTTACTTCTTCTTTTCTTGTTTATGCCTTACAAGTAGTGCAGAGCCAAAGGAACCTTTCCCCACCTGCTCCAAAATCTCATAATTTTCCATCTTATGAGCTATAAGACCACCTTTTCTTTATCAAACAGATTTCAATCCAGATATTATTTTGTCACAGTTGAAATATCAGAGCAAATCTGCAAACACCTTGTACATGTAGAGAAAATGCATCTATTAGAAACTTCAGAAATGTTGAAATTTTCTGAACACTCAACAGCAAACATTAGCAACACTACATCAGTCCAGAATACATTTTATTACAGGAAGAAAAATTATAGCAAATCTGCAAACGTCTTGTAAATCGAGAGACAATGCGACTTTTATACATCATCCAAAAATGTAGGAGACTTTTTAAACCTTCACAGCAGCTCCCTCACATTCACCCTTCTTTCAATAAGATAGGAATTTTATACTATTTTAAATAATTACTAACAACTATCGTTTGAACTTATTGGAACAAAAAATTGTCAATTTGTACCTTATCATTGAAGAATTCTAAATTCTTATCAGCAGCGTAGGTTATTAAATGTAAATCAATAAATTTCCTTAATAAAACACAATTTCTCATCAGTGACTTCTTGTTCCTTGAATACAGTAGATACATACAAAACATAATCCAAGTACTCCAGTTCCTTATATAATATTCCATAAGCTCTACGCACCGAAAATTAGCACGAAAAGCGGGAAAACGCAATGTAAAGGCTCCATTTGAAAACTTTTAGGGCAAAGCTTAAGTAAAAACAAATAAACCTAATCTAATAGCTTAACCAATTTCCAGAAAAAAAATGTAGCGCATAAAAGGGAAAATGCAATACCGCATATGAGAAAAGTAAGTGCAGTAACCGAAACCTATAAATATGGAAAAAATCAAATTCCAAATAGTATGCTCCATTACGTACCTGAAACTGAAAAGTGATGATGAAGAAGAATTGGAGAAGAGCGTTAATGTGAAAATAGGAACGGCATTTTTCAGGTGTTATTCATTGAATGGAGATGATGAATCGAGTAGTTGGAATGATTTTAGTCAGTGAACAGAGAAGATGGAGAGCGGTAAAAGAATTATAAACGAAGCAAAAGCGATGTGGCCGCTTTCTAAAGGACATTTTCAAACTTTGAATTCTTTTTATTTTATTGTTTTTTGTTTCCAAAAAGCGCCTTTTGTTTTTAAAATCAAAATTATGTCCCACAAAAAAAGTCATGGGGTCTATCGAACAAACTTGAAACTTGGGCCTAAAACTAAACTTTAGTAGGGATTATTCGGTTGTCGGAATTAGGAAAATAATAATTCTTATAAAAGTTTGATATTACATTTGATTGACATATACGAATATAATATTATAAGGAAAATCTGATATTACTTTAAACCAGATTCAACATAAAATAATTTATACAATGATTAGTTTCATGAGTGTAAAACACCTAATGACCAAAATAACTTTGGTTCCCGTATTTCTATTATTTAGTTACTTTACATACAAGAATAAAATTACTTCAATTTATATATATAATTTTTACATAATACTAATGCCACCTGGCCAAATAACCAAGGTGACAGAATAATTTATGGGAAATATTCCTGTAACAATTCAGTATTGGTTATGCACTATTGCAAACTGTCATTCTCAAATACTCATTAAACTTAAATAACTATTTTTTATCATGATCAATGACATCTTTATGAATAATCTATATCTTTGGAAGAATATGTGAAAAAATCTAATGAACAAGTCAGAGTCAAAAAATTCATAATGATATAAGTTATGTCATAAAAGGGATTTTAAAATCTGTAGTAAAATAAACTGTGACTTTGAGAAATTGCAGGCACCTTAGTAGGAGACCCTTTAGTAGAGTAGTTCTTGTCACGATAATATGTATGTTTTGTTTGTTCTTTCTTGAGATTCCGTAAAAGGACTGCATCCTAAAAGCAGGAAAAGGACTTATCTCTTTATATATAAATTTGGTATTGTCTATCCCTTAATTAATTAATGTGGTGCTTATGTTTTCTGAGTTGATGTCTACTGGAAACAACCTCTCTATCTTCACAAAGGAGGGGTAAGGTCTGCGTATACACTGCCCTCCCCATACCCTACAATATAGGATAATATTGGGTATGTTGTTGTTATAATATTTTATATGTACAGACAAATTTCTGAGTTAATAATTTAATATCGTCTTCTATTACTCATATGATATAAGCTGTGTATGGGGTCAAATTTGATCGTCAGCATCCCTACGCCAGAGGGTACGCCCAGTGAGTGTACGCCGACTAACGTAGCGGGTACGACTCGGACGCCGGGACAAAAGCGACATCGTTTAGGACTCAGTGTCTTCACTAGGGAGACGTTACCTGTCTTGTAACTTTTTGATTCTTTCGAGGAAGGTCTCTTATTATATAAAGGAGACCTTGACATTGTAAAAAGGGGATTCTGATCTAATACAACTCTCTCATTTTCTGTCTTTCTCTCTCTATCTCTACCTCAAACGAACATATCTTGATAAGTTCATATTATCACTTTGCAATACCAGATCTACGACAATAATATCATCTTTGCATCTCTAGGTTTATTATATTTGATAACGATTTACCCTTTTCTTACTTTTGATTGTTTTCTAGCTTACAAAGTATATTGCTAACTTTTGAGCCAAACAATTTGGCGCCGTCTATGGGAATTTCGAGAATCAAAATCATAGTATCCACCTAGAGAACAACCAACTACCATTCTCTAAACCACACCAAACACAAAAGATGGCTGAGAATAACCCAAGATCAAAAGCTATATTGGGTGTCACTACCAATCTCCTTGGCCCTCTCAACGAGGCCAGTGACGATGGCATCCTGAATGCAACCCCTAGTATCACATCGGGTGCGGAGATCTCACCTTCCCCATCCGAAGATCTGACGATCTTGCACGAAAAGGGAGCTTCCACATTTGCGGCAACGGAAGCACCCTCAACGGTCAAGAAGCTACTGGAAAGATGGCTAACAAGCACTCTGAGTAGCTTGGTTGAGAGGTCACCACAAAGTAACATCAGGTGTACACCAACGGTAGATACAACTGCTGCCGCGGGCGAACCGGAAGTTGCACTAGCAAATAACGAACCCGTCGAGACACAAACCAACGATGGCACGCTAACAGCCATCCTAAAGAAGATGGAAGAAATGGAAAATGAAAACAAGGCGCTCCGCGATCAGATAAAGGAACATCAGGAGAGGGTCGACAAGATCCCTGGTGCCCCCAAGTTGCTACCAAAACGCGACGTGGGAAGGTTCGTTGAACAACCATACACTGAAGAAGCTGCCCCTCACTCCACCCCAAAAACCTTCAAGATGCCACCCTACTTGAGGGTATATGACGGAACCACTGATCCCGAGGATCATCTGATCCACTACGTCACCGCTGTGAAGGGCAACGACCTATCAAAGGAACAGGTACCGTCGGTACTGCTGAAGAAGTTTGGCGAGACGTTGACAGGAGGGGCTTTAACATGGTACTCTCAGCTACCAGCTAAGGCAATATCAATGTTCGAGGAAATGGCGGATAAGTTCGTCACAGCCCATGCAGGCGCGAAGAAAGCGGAGGCCAGGGTCAACGACATCTTCGCCATCAGGCAAACTACAGGAGAGGGACTCAGGGACTTCCTAGCAAGGTTTAACAGAGTAAGGATGAGTCTACCAAACGTATCGGAAGGTATGGCAGTCGCCGCTTTCCAGAACGGGCTAAGCAGGGATGGTTCAAGGGCAACCAAGAAGTTGCTGAGCCGCCTCATGAAATATCCCCCTACCACATGGGAGGAAATCCACAACGCCTATTGCGCTGAGGTACGAGCGGACGAGGATGATCTTAACGGGCCGACCCAACGGCTAACAGCGATACATCCAGAAACGAGGAGAGATCGACGGAACGAAGGACGACGAGAACAACTCCCTCGCTCCAACAGAGATCGACATCAGCCATACACCAGATCCTCCCATCCACCACCAAGGCATACAGACGCGCTACAGCGACATGTCGCTCCACTCCGAAACAAAAGAGGTACGCCTCCTTTATTATCCGCCCATAACTTTTGTGTGTCTTCTTCAGAAATAGTGTACGCACTGGAGAAGTTGGGCTCTAAAGTGCAGTGGCCGCAAAAGATGAAATCAGACCCCGCCACAAGAAAATCAAACGTCCTATGTGAGTTCCATCAGGAACGGGGGCACAAGACCGAAGACTGCATAGGCCTACGGCAAGAGGTGGTCAGGATGATGAACCAGGGATACCTGAGGGAATTACTCAGTGACAAAGGGAAAATCAACTTTGCATGCGGACGGGAACAACCCCATGGGCCGCCGAAGTCGCCCTCCCCAGCACGCACGATAAACATGATCGTTGGAGGCGGCGACGACTTGGCGATCAATCACGTCAAGTTCACCACCACGCACAAACTAAAGCGGACCATCGCCCATGAACGGTATGACGACTTCAAAGATAGTATCACCTTCGATAAGTCTGATGCCGACGGTTTGTCTTCCCCTCATTACGATGCTTTAGTTATCACGTTACGTATCGCTGATACAGATGTTAAAAGAATCACGATCGATGACGGAAGTGGCGCCTGTATTATCCACCCAAGGGTCCTCGTACAAATGGGACTCGAGGATAGGGTAATACCGCACTGCATAACACTAACCGGTTTTAACAATGCAGTGGAACAGACGTCCGGAGAAATAGCACTGCCCGTCTTAGCAGGAGGAGTCACGCTGGAAACAACTTTCCACGTGATGAACCATGAAACGGCGTACAACGTCATCATAGGACGCTCGTGGATACACGCCATGCGAGCTGTCCCTTCAAGCCTTTACCAAGTGATCAAATTCCCTACCCCATGGGGAATATTCAGTATTCGAGGCGAGCCACGCACCGCAAGAGAGTGCTAAAAAATAGCCCAAGACTGCGCCCACACCCAACAGCTAAAGGGGGCGAGCGCGGAGGCATAACAATTAGCCGTTTCGGGGACTAAGGTCAACCCGACAACGGACGCCATCAAAGACCCCGACGATGTGGAGGCCTGTAAAGTGACAGTCGAAGATCTCGACCCAGTTCAATTGGACGAAACCAATCTTACGAAGAAAGCCTATATCGGGCACGGTCTCGCCAACCCAAGTAAGTATCTGACTTCTTAACTAACCATGCAGATTTGTTCGCCTTTTCCCATTCAGATATGTCGGGAATCCCGCGAGACATCGCTACCCACAATCTGAATGTCGATCCACTACATTCGCCCGTGCGACAGATGAGGAGAAAATTCAACGTCGCTATCAACGAAGCGGTCAATGCGGAAGTAGACAAGTTACTCGCCAACGACTCCATCAGAGAATCAAAATACCCCCAGTGGGTCGCCAATGTCGTCATGGTCAAAAAGAAAAATGGGAAGTGGAGAATATGTGTGGATTTCACTGGTCTGAACAAAGCATGCCCAAAGGATTCATTCCCATTATCCCATATCGACCAACTGATCGACGCCACTGCAGGACACGAACTACTAAGCTTCCTAGATGCCTACTCCGGCTACAATCAAATCATGATGGCCGAGGAGGATCAAGAGAAGACAACTTTCATCACCCACCAAGGGACTTATTGCTACAAGGTAATGCCCTTCGGGCTCAAAAATGCAGGGGCTACGTACCAGAGACTGGTCACCAATATGTTCAAAGAGCGGCTCGGTAAGACTATGGAAGTCTATATCGACGACATGTTGGTAAAGTCGACGAGAAAAGAGGACCACATCGACCATCTGAAAGAAGCCTTCGAGATATTGAGAAGGTACGGGATGAAACTGAACCCCGAGAAATGCGCCTTCGGCGTGGCCTCAGGAAAATTCTTAGGGTTTCTTGTATCACAACGAGGTATCGAAGTCAATCCAGATCAGATCAAGGCGATAGACGCAATTCCCGAGATACTGAACAGCAAAAGCAGATGCAAAAGCTGACGGGGCGAATAGCCGCCTTGTCTAGGTTCATCTCACGATCCTCCGACAGATGCCATAAGTTTTTCAATGTGCTGAGGAAGGACAATGGGTTACAGTGGAATGGGGAATGCATCGAGG